TTCATCTGTCTTACTTGATTCAGTGGCCAGGGACAAGTGTTCAGCCATCCTCAGCATTCTGATAAGCGTCCCGGAGGGAGAAGTTCTGAATAATTGCCCCCACCTTGTACTTTAAAAGATACCATTTCCCATTCCTTCCTTCCTTTTTTTTTCTTTTTTCTTCTTGCCACCATGCAGTATCATCTCATTCTATAGAACAAAGAAAGCAGCAACCCCAAATAGTGTGATATATGCTAACTCTTCACTCTTTCGAAAAAGAAAAACACTGTATATATTTAGATACCCCGCCACCTCCAAAAAAATCCACATTAGGTGTCTTCGTTTGTTCATTCCTATCCTTTATTGTTGAATGAAGATCAGATAAAACAGAAAAGAGCCACGAACAAAGCAGCAGGAGGAGAGAGTGGGAGATAAGAAAGGAATTGAAAGAGTGGGACCTGTGCTTTATGTGGATGTGGGACATAGGGAGGGCTTCCTGGCCAATGGTGGGGCTCCTAGATGAAACCCCAGATGTTGGGGTTATTTTTGGAGCCTGAAGGATCAGTGATAATACTCAAGGGATGGGATGAGTGTCTGGCCAGGGAAAGGCAGGCATAGGAGGCATGATGCCTGGATTCTTCTCTGGATCTAGACCCATTACCCAGCCAAAGATCTTTCTTCTCACACCTCTTTGAAACATGATTGTTTTTGGCTTTCTCTTGGAGTTACTAAACCAGGAGATTTGAGACAAGTGATAGTATGGGTGGAACCTTAAAGTGGCTCCAAATTCCAGAGTCCTCTAGGCTTGTATGGAGGGCCTGTTTTCCAAACAAAGTTAGTCTTCGGTTGCCCAAATGGAGCTGCTGTTACTTTCTACTGACCTGTGGCTCAGCACAAAGTGTCAGGAGACAGGTGACAGTGCCTGGCTCAGACCTGATTGCAAGGGGGCCCCCTGGAAAGAAGTAAAGGCAACTGCAGCATTCAAAACTGAATCTCTTGTGCGAGGATTGCCCATGACTTTCCCAGCTTTAGGGGCTGGCGGGTGACCTCCAACAGCGGCATCGTCAGAGCAGGGTGGCTGCATGTAGAGAGGTGGTGTAGGGTGGCAGAAAGAGCCAGGGTTTGAAACCTAGCTCTGCCTCTTACTTGGTGTATGCTGTTAGGCAAGGTTTTTCATCCCTCTGAGCTGCAGTATCCTCATCTGTAAAATGGGAATAATGATATGATTTCATTTATGGAGGTGTTGCCAGGTAGAGAAGACGGTAACTTGGCATGTGCTGGTATAACTAACTGGTTCTTCTCTTCCCTTCCGCAGATAGAATTTACTTCCTTAATATAGTGAAACTAGACAGTTATCTAGCTTCCAAAGATAAAGGGAGGCAGATGGTAGTGCGCTTTAAAACAAGCCATTTTCTCCAAGAGCCAACATATTGGTCACTATATCCATCGTAAAATACCAGCTGACTTTGTAGCGTGGTGGGAGTAGCAGGAATCATGTGAGGCTTCTTGTGTTATGGCCCAGACATTTGTAGCTACAGGGAAGTAAATTGACACATTTGGTCCCCACTGCATAATGGCAAATATGGGTACAAATAAACAACTGCCAAAAATTTTGGCAGACTTGGGGCATCTGGCTCCTTTAGGACTCGACACAGAGATAGGATGATTCAGACACTTAAGGCCATTTAAAGAAGTGATTGACCCATCTTGCTCAGTCCCGTGTGCGTTTCCCACAGCTTCCCCTGCCTGCAGAGACTCTGGCTTCTGTGGAGATAGTCTTCTGTTTTTCCAATTAGGAAAATAGCAGTTTTATTGTTGCCGTTGCTACTGTTTGAGGGTGGAAAAGGTAAGTCTGGGGAGTATAGCATGGGTGACAAATGAAAGGGAGAGTAGCACTGTTGCCTTTTTAAGTATATTCAGAATTTCAGCCAGTGGAATTATGCGTTTCATTTTCTGAGCCCACAGATTTGTAAACTTCTCCTTCTGCGGACAGGCTAGCAGGTTTCTTATTTACAGGGTTTTCCCCCCTCCTGATTGGCTGCTCGTTGAGTGAGAATTAGTCACAAATCTCTTGAATTTGTGTGGCACTTTATCTTACATGCACTCTCACCTCAAAAACTAAAGCCACCATCTTCCCTCCCAAAACAGTCCCAATAGCCGTCAATCCTCCATGCCTGGAGTTCAGCCTTATTTCTTCTCCCCATAGGTTTTCTCCCATTCACCTAGCAGCCATTTTCTCTAAATTTTGCCTCTTCAGCTTTTAATCCATCCACCCCTTTTTTCCATTTCAGTTTCTGCCATGCACTTGCCCGCCTGCTTACCTGTCACCGCTGGTAGAACAGGGCCCACAGGTGTGTTTGGTTTTGCCATCATGCCACAGACCCACACAGTTTAGAAAAAATTAGTTGCCAACTTTTATAAGTCAAGAGTTCATATAAAAATCTAGATTACCAGTCTCACTTGGAAAATTAGATGATCTCTCAACACTGGGCAAGCATTCCTTCATATCCTCTCGGCTGGAGCCAGGTGGTCTCTGCCCCCTTAGATGGGCACAGATCACCCAGGGTCTTTAGTCCCTGTGCAGCCTGCCTCACGTGCACAGGTCTCTTCCTGAACCCTGGAGGCTTTTTGATTGTGACTCCTGTTTTAGAATGTGCCCTCCCTTTTTCGGTATCTTCTGTGCTGCCTCTCTGCTTCCTGAATTAAGTGTTAAGTGCCTCACCTGCTGACACTCCATGGCGCCCACCAATGATTCTCAAGCTGAACATGTGTTGGAATCACCTAGACGCTTGAACAGGTTCAGTGGGTAGGGAGGGGATACTCAGGAATCTATATTTTTAACAAGAAAGATTCCTGGATAATTCTAATGCAGATGGCCTAAGGTACATACTTTTATAAACACAGTTACGGTGTATTCCAGTAGCCTTTGCTGCCCATTCTTTAGTTTCAGTTCCAGAACCCCCAGAGAAGGAAGTTGATTGGGCCAGATTGGGTCAGACACCTTTCCTCTCTCCCACCAAATGGCAGCTGCTGCATACAGCATGTGAGACTAGGTGGGAGAAGCAGTTCCCAGGAAAGAGGTGCTGGGCAAACAGCCTGGCTGTCTCCTCTTCAGTGTCTTGCGCCCATTACCAGTACCTCTGGCATGTCCTCCCACCTCCTGCACTAGCAATCCAGGAAGACACAGGCTGCTTCTCAATCAACTGCTTCTCCCCAGAACTACCTACTACCTACCAGACTTTGGCCAGAGGAGATGTGCAAGTATCTATTTCTTTTAAATTTTTAGCTATTTTTTTTTAAATTGAGTGTGTACATGGTTAAAAATGCAAACAATACTAAAAGAAACATAGTAAAAACTAAGCTTTCCTCCCAGTCCTGATTTCTAGGTCCCAGGCCTCTTAAAAGAAGCCCAGTCCATTTTGTGTCCTGTGAGGATAGGGGCCTGTCTGTAGAGACAAAGCACACTTCCAACCTTCTATCCCCTCAGTCCTTTCCTTTATCCATGGTGGGTTTTTTTTTTTCTTTTCATTTTACAGTTATATATTATTTTATATCAGTCATTTCATAAACATGTTAAATATTTAAATGTTTACTTATAAAAACCCTGGGATTAAACAGGGAAATGTTAGCTATTCTAATATATCCTAAAATTAAGAATATTGAGGAATCGATTGATACAAAAATTTTTTGTCCAAGAGGTAGGACCAGAAAGCAAGCCTTCTGACTCCCGCCCCAGTGTGTTTTGCTGTAAGATGGGTAGTTAAATGATTTGAAATAGCCATTTTTCCATATGGTGAAAAGAATGGCATCTTCCCTTGTTTATAAAAAGATACATGAGAACTTCTGCCCAGAGCTGGGGTAGAGGGTCCCCCTCCAAACCCATCTGCGGAGTTGGGGCCTTTATGCCATCATAGTGTACTTTAAACCAACTGTCAGGCCTCTGAGCCAAAGCTAAGCCATCATATCCCCTGTGACCTGCACGTACATATCTGGATGTACGTTGACTCTCTTTTCAGACTCAGGCCCCCTGCACCCAGTGAAATAAATAGCCTTGTTGCTCACACAAAGCCTGTTTTGTGGTCTCTTCACATGGACACGAGTGACACCAGCACTCCCCAACTTTTTGGCACCAGGAACCGGTTTCATAGAAGACAAGTTTTCCATGGATTGTGGGTAGGGGATGGTTTCGGGATGAAACTATTCTGTTCCACCTCACCTCAGATTGTTGGGCATTAGTTAGATTTGCATGCGCAGTTCACAGTAGGGTTTGCGCTCCGATGAGAATCTAGTGATCTGATGGGAGGTGAGCTCAGGCCTTAATGCCGCATCACCTGCCCGCTGCTCACCTCCTGCTATATGGCCTGGCTCCTAACAGGTCACGGACTGATACTGGTCTGCCGTCTGGGACTTGGGGACCCCTGCTTTAAACATTCCCTGATGTCAATGCACCATTGCCACCATCTGCAAAAATGAATCGGGAAGACTTCTAACTATGACATTCAAGTATATTCAAAATGCTGCAGAGATTGTTACAACAGGAAATTCACAGGACAGTACCAGAAAATGACTGCTCTTAACTCTCCACTTCCAAAGTTCAAGTTTTATACAATTGCATAGTGTCACCTGCTATGGGCTTGTAACCTCTTGCCATGCAGGACATGAGACCAGCTTAGAGGTCTGTTCATATATTCAAGATTGACCATGAGATGTGTCCTTCATTTCACTTTTTCCTGCCAGTGGAAGAATGTTGGAAAGTTGTAGAAATAAGGCAAAAGAAGTTTGGGTTTTTATGCTGTCCTGAGAGGTGAAGGCTAGCATTCACAGTAACTTTTCACAAGCCCATTTTACTTGCTAAGAATATCATTCTTGTATTCATTTACCTTCCACTATCCTCCTACTTCAAAAAGATAACAAATAATTAAGTGAATGTGTACTGAAATTGTTGAAAAGGGTAAATGCTTGTCAGTATAAATGAGGTCCAGCTTCAAAAGAAGAGTTTAAATGTTCTCTTTTCTTTTCAGGAATACGTGGCCATCAGTCATCATGAGCAACCCATTTGCACACCTTGCTGAGCCGCTGGATCCTGTACAACCAGGAAAGAAATTCTTCAATTTGAATAAATTGGAGGATCCAAGATATGGTAGGTACATGGCTATGATAGCAATTGGAATCTCATTTGCACAATGATTAGGCTATGTAATTAATTATGCTTCAGGAGAGTTTGAAGAGGGAGTAGCAGAGAATAATTGAATGTTCTTGGGTTAAGTGCACAAGCACACACATGCCTTTCCTACATTAGTCAAATTTAAGTAGGTAATAATGATTACATACATTTAACATTTATATAACACTTTATAGAGTATACATTTGTATCATATCATTTAATCTGAAGAACAACCCTTTGGGGTCATGTTTATAAAATATAAGAGGTCCTGAGGAAGCTAAGACCCAAGAATCAATGACACATGCTCAGATCACAAGTATGTGGGTTGTAGACAAGCAGGACAAGAACAGTCTTTCTTCTTCCAAATTCCGTCCTTTTTCTGCCTTTGCACTGTTTTTTCCAGATAACATTTCCAGATAGTATTGCTTAGTAATTTTCACATATCAAAATGGAACTTTTATAAGTAAACAAAACCATTTTTCTTATGAATTAATATTGTTTTAGGAACTCCAGTTACCACTGGCTATGCTGCATAGGGTTTAGGGTTTTGTTTCCTTTGAAAGATGTACATGCATATACTTTGGTCTTAAATACAACATTTGTAAAGGGGTTATTTTCTCATTTCTTGAGCATTAGTTTTCATAAGAACTATTACTCTGTGTATATGTACATGTATAAATATACATTACTTGTTAACATTTAACATAGGCTGGGTGTGGTGGCTCATGCCTGTAATCCCTGCACTTCAGGAGGCCAAAGCAGGCAATCCCTTGAGTCCAGGAGCTCAAGACTAGCCTGGGCAACATAGTGAAACCCTGTCTCCACAAAAAATACAAAAAAAATTTAGCTGGGTGTGGTGGTGCTTACCTATAGTCCCAGGTATTTAGGAGGCTGAGGTGGGAGAATCACTTGAGCCAGGGAGTTTGAGGCTGCAGTGAACTGTGATCACACCACTACACTCCAGTCTGGGTGATAGAGTGAGACCCTGTCTCAAAAACAAATAAAATACGTAATACAATAAAAATCTAGACTGATGGTGAGATGGGATGACTTAAGGGAAACTTTCTGTTGTTGGAATCCAGGACAAGACAACCATTTAATACCAAAGAATAATGTTTTATTTTGGCCTCGTCTGTGGCGTTTTCTACCACTGAATATCTCTTTTTTTTTTTTTTTTTTTTTTGAAACAGAGTCTCGCTCTGTCACCAGGCTGGAGTGCAGTAGCGTGGATCTCGGCTCACTGCAACTTCTGCCTCCTGGGTTCAAGCAATTCTCTTGCCTCAGCCTCCCTAGTAGCCGGGACTACAGGCACACACCACCATGCCCAGCTAAGTTTTGTACTTTTAGTAGAGATGGAGTTTCACCATGTTGGCCAGGATGGTCTTGATCTCTTGACCTCGTGATCTGCCCACCTCAGCCTCCCACAGTGCTGGGATTACAGGCATGAGCCACCATGCCCAGCCCTGAATATCTCTTCAACCCATTAAATATCCATGTATTTTAAACTGTTGGTCACTTTACCCTCTTTACTTGTGGAAGAATAGTCTGATGCCTCGTATCAACTTTATATAGAGATTAGCCTTAAAGAGTGCTCTTAAGTTGTCTCACGAGTTTTGTTTATTTTGTCATGCTTTCTCCTTAACTCTTAGGGCGCTTACCATTTTCCATCAGAGTTCTTCTGGAAGCAGCCATTCGGAATTGTGATGAGTTTTTGGTGAAGAGACACGATATTGAAAATATTCTGCACTGGAATGTCATGCAGCATGAGAACATAGAAGTGCCATTTAAGCCTGCTCGTGTCATCCTACAGGACTTTACGTGAGCCTAATGTCACTTCACTCTCCTCTTCTCTGCCTCCCTCGTTAGCCTTTCAAAAAAGTTTTCTTTTAAACAAACGGAAACACTGTGCAATGACTATATAATTTATTACCCATATACCCATATCCAGACACTTTTGAAAATTAAGGAGGGGGGGGTCATTGCCCCCAGCAGCAAGAGGAAACCAGGATTGTCTCAGACAAACTGAGACACCCCACCTTTTCTAATGGCAAGGGTCATTATCCTTGCTCTTAAAGATCCTAGTCCTGAGTATTCTAGGGAAAGGTCAAAGAGATAGCATGGAGGGCCGGGCGCGGTGGCTCAAGCCTGTAATCCCAGCACTCTGGGAGGCTGAGGCGGGTGGATCACAAGGTCAGGAGATCGACACCATCCTGCCTAACACAGTGAAACCCCATCTCTACTAAAAATACAAAAAAATTAGCCGGGTGTGGTGGCGGGCGCCTGTAGTCCCAGTTACTCGGGAGGCTGAGGCAGGAAAATGGCGTGAACCCGGGAGGCGGAGCTTGCAGTGAGCTGAGATCGCGCCACTACACTCCAGCCTGGGCAACAGCGAGACTCCGTCTCTAAAAAAAAAAAAAAGAAAGAAAGAAATAGCATGGAATAGAGCCATCTTGGAATCTTTTCTCTCCCGCATTGTATTGCCCAGGAAACCAGGTGTCAGACACTTGTACTTGAAACACTGATGTGCTGTCTGCCAAGGGGAGATGTTGTAGCTCACATCACAAATCTTGACCATAACTGTGAAGCCTCAGTTCTCATCCTGCTATTTTTAGGTATCCTTGCTCCCCATTGCAGCATCTTTGTTGAGATACTATATTTCCATTTGTAAGTGATGTTATTTTATTGCTTCTAGAGACCCAATTTCATTTTTCTAGAGGAAGAGCACCAAAACGTTATACTTTTAAGCAAAAAAGAGAGAAAGATTCATTTAACATGAATTTGATTCACCGCCAACTTTTCTGAATTATATCCATTCCTTGAAATCTGGTCAAAGTTGAGGGTGTGATCTGAATGTCTTCTCCAGGTCTTTGTCTAGCCACCATGTGAATGGGAAGCACTCATAGCAGTAAGAGTTCCAGAGTTGTTAAGTGCCAGCTTTCCCGTCGTTGCTCTATTTAGACCATAGCTGTTATTAAATTTAATACAGTGATAACATTGTACATAGACCACCCAGTTATGGTACCTACTGTCTATGTGATTTCTGCCTGAGGAAATATGCTTAGAAACTTTCACTCTTCTAAGTCTCACCCATTGTTAGCTCCTCTGATGAGGGAAGGCCTCGTCAATATTATCAATGGAGGCAAAAGGTGAAAAATCCAGTTACACACATTTAAGGCTTATTTTCTGCATTATTCTCTTTCTTCTCTTAGGGGTGTGCCCGCTGTGGTTGACTTTGCTGCAATGCGTGATGCTGTGAAAAAGTTAGGAGGAGATCCAGAGAAAATAAACCCTGTCTGTCCTGCTGATCTTGTAATAGATCATTCCATCCAGGTTGATTTCAACAGAAGGTGAGAGATTAAAACGAATACCTGAGTGTTCTGCTTTGTGCAAAGTCTTTGAATACGAATCTTTTTAAAATGTGTATATGTAGTTAAAGAAGAAAATCTTTAAAAGATATCTTCTGAAAAACTTAAACTTCATATAGATTTTGCAGTAAAGATGTTTTAGGGGGAAGAGTGGGTGGATTTTTTTTAATCTTTCTTTATTTGTTTTTACTTCTTGGGTGGGAGCAGCCTGCATTTGAATCTGGCTTGAAGTCGGGGTGAAAACACACCCACATGAAGTTCTGCCTTGAGAGCTTGTCAACACAAGTATATGTCAATGCAAGTATATGTTTGAGCTTTTTCATCCACTGGAACCTTATTCCTGTTTTGATCCCAAGTAACTGTTGCATATCTAGCAATCTCTGCCTCTCCACGTGGGTTTCCATAATGCCTATCCCTTTCTTTCTCTGTGTTTCTTTTTTTGTTTGGGATATCCTCTTCTCTCTTCCTGCCAAATCTTACCTGTCCTTTAAGGCCAGCTTATATTTTATTCTGTTAGGAATCCTTTACTTTCCAGCCTACGAAGCTCCCTGTTCTTCAGTTTGCCAGATGATTTAGTGTTCTGAGTGGGCCTGTAGCCCTTGAAGGGAAAGTGTCACTTGAGTTGCCTTGGTAAATAGACTCTCAGCTCCCTGAATGCAAGAGCTGAGCAGATAAATAGGCATTTAGTGTCCAAACTGAGTGACCTTGAAATTATTCTTCAATTTAGTGAGAATCTTAGTAAGCCTGAATATAGACACCTAATGGTCTAACACCTTTAGGTGGGGAAAAACTAAACAACTCTGAGAATAGGTTTTTTGTTGTTGTTTTTGTTTTTTTAAATCCATCCTCACATCCTTGGCATCCAAAGGTGTGCATATTAAAATGTCTTCATTGGCCACGTGCAGTGGCTCATGCCTGTAATCCCAGCACTTTGGAAGGTTGAGACAGGAGGATCGCTTGAGCCTAGGAGTTTGATACCAGCCTGGGCAACTTAGGAAGACCACATCTCTACAAATAACTTTTTAAAAATTAGCCACGTGTGGTGGTGTGTGCCTGTGTGGTCCCAGCTACTTAGGAGGCTGAGGCAGGAGGATCACCTGAGCCCAGGAGGTTAGGCCGTGCATACCAGTTGGGTGACAGAGCAAGACCTTGTCTTAAAAAAACAAAAACAAAAACAAAAAAAACTTAATAAAGAAAATGTTTTACAAAGAAGAGAACTGAACATGTGAATTTGTAGTTGTGAACTAGCAACTTAGGCCTGGCCTCTTAAACTTTAGAAGTGAATACTTCTTAATCAAAATATATGTACCATTTGTAATCCTAGCCCAATGAAGAGATGACTAAGTTTTGTGAGATTAGGAGCTAAGTAGTAATGGTCAATTTTCCTGACTCAGTTTATTTTAATGAGCTTTCATCCCTAAATCTCACTCTCTAAAAGCCTTTGCTTTAAGTTGGACATGTTGGGAGTGAGTCTTTGGGTTAAAATGGCATCAGGATGTTAAACATTGTTATATAGCCCCAGTCTTTTGTAAGATATACAAAAAAGCATAGAAAATAGAATCTAAGAGAAGCACTTAGTGATTTGATAGGGCCTATAAAAGTACCTGATGGCTGGACACAGTGACTCACGCCTGTAATCCCATCACTTTGGGAGGCCAAGGCAGGCGGATCACGAGGTCAGATCAAGACCATCCTGGCGAACATGGTGAAACCCCATCTCTACTAAAAATACAAAAAAATTAGCCGGGTATGGCGGCGGGCGCCTGTAGTCCCAGCTACTTGGGAGGCTGAGGCAGGAGAATGGCGTGAACCCCGGAGGCGGAACTTGCAGTGAGCAGAGATAGCGCGACTGCACTCCAGCCTGGGCGACAGAGCAAGACTCCGTCTCAAAAAACAAAGAGTACCTGATGAAGTTAAACTTGAAAAAAAAAGAAAGAATCTAGTCATCTTTGCCCTTTGGATCAAAATGGTAATCGACAGATGGGAATGAAGTCAGAAGAAACTCTACCATTTGTCCTTTTCTCCAAAAGGCAGAATTTGTACCAGCCAAAACCACGAAGATTTCAATGTAGAGATAGGTGTAAAAAAATCAGCTATTGCTGTATAACCCCAGAATCTCAGCAGCAGGCAACAATCAGAATTTCTTTCTTTCTTTCTTTTTTTTTTTTTTTTTTGAGACTGAGTCTCGCTCTGTCGCCCGGGCTGGAGTGCAGTGGCCGGATCTCAGCTCACTGCAAGCTCCGCCTCCCGGGTTTACGCCATTCTCCTGCCTCAGCCTCCCAAGTAACTGGGACTACAGGCGCCCGCCATCTCGCCCGGCTAGTTTTTTGTATTTTTTAGTAGAGATGGGGTTTCACCGTGTTAGCCAGGATGGTCTCGATCTCCTGACCTCGTGATCCACCCGTCTCGGCCTCCCAAAGTGCTGGGATTACAGGCTTGAGCCACCGCGCCCGGCCCAGAATTTATTTCTTAACACGTCTTCTAGTTGTTTGGGAGGTCAGCTGACCTAGGTGAGCACAGTTGGGCAGCTCTGCTTTGCCCTGCAGTAGCCAGGTTGGCAGCTTACACTGAACCATACATCTGCGGGGCAGCCGGGACAACTCTGTTCCATGTGTGTTTCTTTTGGGGTCCAGGCTAAAGGAGAAAGCCGCTGTCTTGTGACCACAGAGACTCAAGTGGGCAAGTGGAAACACACAGTATCTCTAAGACCTAGCTAAGGACCAGCATAGCATCGCTTCTGTTCACGGTGCCACTGATCAAAGCAAATCACAGGGTTGAGCCCAAAGCTGGGATGGGGAAATATAGTTCACCCATCTTCCGTGGAAGTAACTGCAAGGTTACACAGCAAGGGTTTTGATACAGGGAGGGCAATCAGGTGTTTTTAAGAGGCTATTATCTTAACCTAGAAGTATGACTACCTAAAGTCGTCAAAACAACTATCAGTGGGAAAAGAAATAACTTTTTCACATACAGTGCTAGAAACTGATTAGTGGAGGGAGCAGTTCTTATGAATGTTTAAAAGTTTGAGAAGGAAATCTGTGTGTATCAGATGTCGATGAGACTAAATTTAGAAGCAACGAATGAAACAAGGAAAAAAGCTATAGATTTAGTTACTTCAAAGTTAAGAGAAAATAACTTGAAAAATGTGGCAAACTGTTAATATACTTAATAAATGGAGTATCTGTAATCCATTTAGGAAAATAATAGGTCCCTGAAGATAAATGGGCAAAGGGAAGTGGACATTTCATAATAAAAGGAAATGCAGATGGTAGTAAACAGTATATAAAGGCTTTTCAATCTCACAAGTAATAAAAAAGTAAATATTTGAGATGTCATTTTCTTATCAATATACTTGACATTAGAAAATAAACATTAATTATGAAGGTGTTATAAGGGAGACACTTTTATACACTGCTGATAGCACTATAAATTAGAAATGAGGATTAAAGCAATATATGTTAAGACCTTAGAAATTTCTGTGTCCTTTGTCCTGGAATTTCTACTTCCAAGCATACCCTTTATATCTTTTATTTATTTATTTATTTATTTTTCGAGACACGGTCTCACTCTGTTCCCTAGACCAGGGTGACGTGATCACAGTTCACTGCAGCCTTGACCTCCTGGGCTTTAGCAATCCTCACACCTCAGCCTTCCGAGTAGCTGTGATCACAGGCATGCACCACTACATCTAGCTAATCTGAATAGCTGACTTCAGAGAAAGCTTAATGGCCTATAATGTTTATTAAAGTATCTTTATAAATGAAGCCTAGAAACATTCTAAATGTCCAACAAAAAATGGCTTATTAAATTATAGTATACCCCTGAAGTGAATCATTAGGTAACCTTTAGAGTTTTATGAAGTCTTTAATAACACTTGGAACATGATCACATTGTAGCTCAACGAGCCAGATGCTACATTGCATATGTAGAGTGACGTAAGCTACATGGAAAATGATGCAGAAATTAAAAGATTGGAAAGGGTGCCAAGTTGCAAAGCAGTTATCGCCGGGATTGTAACTGTCTTCATTTTCCTAATAAGAAGCTATTATTTTTATAATTAAGTCATTTAAGAATATGAAATCACTCAAAGGGAAACAAAAACACCTTTATTTGCTTCTCTGGGGATGTAACTGAGTTCCAGGCAGCCTCAAAATAAATTTAGAAAATGGTCTTTCTCCAGTTAATATTGCTAACATCCAAACCAGATAAATTCAGGATAAAGAGAAATCTACTTTGTCCCCTGAATTGATTGATGGTTCTTGGAACAGACCATGTACTCACCAGCTCTTCCCTTTCCTTTGGACTCTGAACCTCTCCTAAGGCAATATGTCTTCTCCCACCTTCCTTTTTTTCTAAATCACGTGAATTCATTTAATGTTTTGGTTTCAAATGGAAGTTTTAAAAATATATGCATAAAATGTTATCCTGTTTGAGATAGGATAAAGACCCACTTCAGAAGTTATGAAAGTAGCCATAAATTCATGCCCAATTTCATCTTTCTTGGAGACTTTCATTAATGTTGATGGGTTTACCTTCATTTCGCTCGCCTAAAAGGTGAAAGTACAGGTAGAGACAGAATTGTAATATAGTTTTCATGTCTAAACTCTATTGACTCAAAATTCAAAGAGTTCATTGCTGTTAATACATCTTAAACTTGGGTCATCACCAAGTTCACTGTAATTTCTTTTTTTTTTTTAGACCTTGACTCTAATCAACTGTGGTTTCAATTTTTTATAGACTTTTTTCATTTACATCATGTACTGAAAACAAAAACAGCAAAATCCAAGGGTGAGCTTTGACCTAGATTGATAACCAAATCTAGCAAACCCACATATATATATAAAATTAGAGCGAATACTGGCCGGGTGTGGTGGCTCGTGCCTGTAATCCCAGCACTTTGGGAGGCTGAGGCAGGCAGATCACGAGGTCAGGAGATCAAGACCATCCTGTCCAACATGGTAAAACCATGTCTCTACTAAAAT